GGGAAACTGCTCCCCCTCGATCATCCCGAAGGCCCCATTTTCACACAGCTGATTGGTGGTTCCAAAATGGCCACCCGCTGTTTTGCCTCGCTTTAGAGGCACCGAAAATGGCTGCCCCTATGGAGGAGTTTCGCATATGGTGAGTTTTTAAGCCCATAGGAATGCATTAAACATGTTTTAATGTGTTTCTATGGGCTTTTTAAAATCGCTTAGCAATGAAATCGCATAGCAGCGATTTTTGCTGCACGGATTAATATCGTTAAGCGAGGCACCACTGTATTTAGGTTTCAGGAATCAAATCAGCAGCTATTGCCCATTGCTTCAAATTGGTAACAAGCAATTTTGGAACAATTCCAGTTGCTAGCATTAGTATGGAGAGGAAAATGACCTGACCATAATAATAATCTTCTCCTCCTCCTTCCCATTTTATGTAAAAATCAGGATCCGATTTATTGAAGGAGCATTCCTCTGTCTCCCTGTACACCCCTTTAAATTACAGGCCAGTGACTGAGCTACATGAGTTGTAATAGATTGAGGAGATTGCTATGTTCTCTCATCCCACTCCATCCTTCTTGGTGTGGCAACAAGATCCAGTAAGAAAAGGCGGTCCTCCCTGATACAGTCCTCCTTCAGTTTTCACACAACCAAGTAAATGTATTTTCCTGATATCTGGCATCTCTGCAGGAAAAAAATCACTTTGCGGTGATATTAAAGTGTATGAGCTGTGTTCTCCATTGAGTATCTCAGAAACCCCTTGAGTCATTTCATATCTGACTCGAACCAGGACAGATGTGATGACTGAGGATTGGGGGCAGCCCCTTGGAGGAGTACTTCTCATGCACAACCTGCAGTTCATGACTGTGGATGGGGATTGAGTGGCCTGTGCTTTGCTACAATTGTGCATGGAGCCTGCAGCCGCTGACCTTGGGAACAGCTGTGGGGAAAAAGCAGCGATGAAGAAGATCTATCATACAGGATATAGCCAATGGACTCCTTCCCATCCCATAATTGCATTCTGTATAGGTTGAATGTCTAAGTAAGGTTATCAATGGGAGTGGAATGCCTGACTTTGAACTCCTTGTAACATAACAAGTCAGTCGAAAGGCAGACCAAGGAATAGGGATGCAGCCTGTGTTGGGTGAAGCTGCACTTGCTCTAAAAATGTAAGTGCACAGGTTGAGGGTGCCCCTGGATTTGTCTCTGAGCCTACATGCCCAGGTTTCGATGGTGACTAAGAGTGCCTTTGCATAATTAAAATTAGTGTGCCAGCTATGCACGCACCTGGAGAGGCCACAGTGATACATACCTGCCTCTGGAAAGTGTTCAGAAATGTCAGTGGATCCCAAATGCAGCAGCCGGATTATTAACTGAGCTGGTCATAGGGACCACATAATTTTATTTGTACTTTTCAGTATTTGTATACTGTTTTTATCTTTAAATATCATCTGAATGATGTTAGCTGTCTTGGGTCCTTCTTAAGGAGAAAGGGAGTGCAAAAATCTTCAGAAGTAAATTCAAGACTTGGCTATTTGGGCAGGCTTTCCCTCCTGCTGTATCTTAAATTCACATTTTACCATCTTGTATTTATTGCATGTTTATTGGTTTTACTGTTTTTAAATTTGTAATGCCGCCCAGAGTAGACCTTTGGTCTAGATAGGCGGGGTATAAATCTAATAAAATAAATAAATAATAAAATAAAAATATTATGAATGAATGAATGACAGCATTTTCAAGGAGCATCTTGAACAGTAATATGATTAGTTGGCCCCATCTGTTTTTTAGGGGTATTGTTTCTGCTCTTAAGGTTTCTGTTTTTATTTTAGTTTTCTATTGCATTTCTTGTAACCTGGCCAGAATAGTGCATCAACACTAATGGGGACAGGATACAAATTGAATAAATAAATAAATAATATTTTTATAGTAGGGCAAAAATGCTGAAATTTTCATATAACGTTTATTAAGTAGAATAGCAAATCCCAGGCAGATGAATACTAATGACTTTGGGAGCAAAAGATGGTAGTTTCTTAATATCAATGCGATGTCATGTGTAGAAGATGCTATACAGTGGTGCCTCACATTACGACGTTAATTCCTTCCAGCAAAATCACTCTAGAACGAAAATGTAGTAATGCAAAAAGAAAAAACGCATTAAAACCCATTTAATGCATTCCAAAGGGCTGTAAACTCACCGTCCAGTGAAGATCCTCCATAGGGCGGCCATTTTCGCTGCCTGTGCAGTGAGGAATCCGTCCCAGAAAACAGCAGGGGGCCATTTTGTTTACCCGGTGACCATTTTGAAACCGCCGATCAGCTGTTGGAAAATTGTCGTTTTGCGAACAATCGGTTCCGAAGCTGGGAACCGATCATCGCAAAGCAAAATTCCCCTATAAGAAACATCGTTTTGCGATCGCAAAAAGTTCATCATAATGCGGTTTCATCGTTAAACGGGACAGTCATAATGCGAGGCACCACTGTATTAAAATAAAACAAATTTATGAGCTTTCAGAATGTTGGTGGCTGTTACTTCCAATGTTTGAGTCAGAGAACTGTAACTCCATGTAGTATTTGAGTATGTGCCCAGATAGCTCCTTTTCTTAGACACCAGTGTTGTAAATTCTCTCTCATATTATAGATGGTTGCATATCAGCCAGGTTGTGAGCAGTGGATGGGATGGGATGGGATGGGTATGGTGATGGTGATGGTAGGGATGTGGGTGGCTCACGTAACATCCAGGGAGTACAATTAGCTGGATATTGTACATTAACTGGATAACTTTCGTGCCTGCTAAATGTAACTTCTTGTTTTCTTTCCCTTAGATTTTCACATTAAAGCTGTACCAATATGAGAGAATCACAAGAAGCATCCAGGAGAACCTTGGACAATGAATGGAAGAGGACAAGAAAACAAAAAGAACTTGGCATTTAAAAAGGATTTGATACCTGGAGACTTTGGCTGCAGCACATATGTGAAAATGGGACATACTCCCTCAAAATACAAATTAACTTAGGAAATCATCACTTTTGGAATCATGCTATTGAACTAAAATAAAAATGCTTTTCTCTCTTCCTGGCCAGTAACGGAGCATTGATGGATTACGATTTTCCAAAGTTGGAAGCATTCATTTTCACCCATTTAATCTATCCTTATAACTATATAAGGAATATAACATTTCCTATTTAATATAGGTCAGAATGGGCAACTGACTTCTCAGAAAAAAAAAAATGGGAGATTTTACGGACTAAGCCACAATTTCCCGATGCACTTTGTACACACTGGGAATTGCTATGCTGTATGGCCGTCTTCTGAAGGCCATGATGACATATAAAATAAAGATATCATCTTCCTGTTGATATCTTTGAGGATTCACAACCAGAATCAGAAAAATGAATGGAAGCAAGGAGTGTGATGGTGGGGACAAAGATGGAGGATTACCAGCAGTACAAGTCCCAGTTGGATGGCAACGGAGGGTGGATCAAAATGGAGTTTTGTATATTAGGTAAGTATTACCATATAATGCTTGTCAGAATTGCTTCCAAAGTAGTTCTCTGAACTCTGATCACTAAAGGTCTCCTCTTTCAGTCCTTCCACTACCTTCTGTCATACCAAATGTTTGGTGTGTCTCTTTGTTTGGAGCTCCCTCTGGGCCCCTTTCCCTTTTTAATTCTCTGGAGTAGCATCTAAATCCTGTTATACCATATGTTATGCTTTTAAGCAGCTGCCTCTCACCCAAATAGGATAGACCTTTTGAGTAAAAGGGAACTTAGTAAATTGACATGTAACTAGGTTCCGTATATTTATTGTGTCTACTCTAGTTGAGATAATCTGTTGGATATAGGCCCCTGTGTTTTGAAACATTGCACATAGAGGATTGCACATTTGAGCACTGTTACTATCTGGGGTGGGAGTGGTGGGTCTTGTCTTCTCAGGCATGCCTGTTGGGAATATGAGGCCTTCTCTGTGGCTGCTTCCAAGTTGGGGAGTGCCCTCCACTGGGAGGCTGAGTCAGCCCCTTCCCTCTTGTTCTTCCAGTGTCCTTTTTAAAAACAGGTTTTTAACAACTAGTTGGGCAATTTTTAATCTTGTGTGCTGGATATTTTTATTAACCCATGTGTGTTTTTAATGTGTTGAAAGCTATTTTTAATAGTTTTAACTAATGATGTTAATGCTGTTGTAAGTTTAATGGATTTTTAATGTCATAATGACAGAGGAGGAGATGGTTGGACAGTATCATCGAAGCGACCAACATGGCTTTGACCCAACTCCGGGAGGCAGTGGAATATAGGAGGGCCTGCCGTGCTCTGGTCCATGGGGTCATGAATAGTCAGACACAACGTAACAACTAAACAACAACAATGTCATAATTTATTGTTCTAGTCAGTTTATTGGGTTTTTTTAAATAATTTGTGAGTTGCCTTGGGTCCCTTAATTGAGAGAATGATGCCACAGATAGGATGATAGTATGCAGGTGGACACCACATGTGCAGTTGGGAGAAAAATATCCACCTGGAAACTGATAGATGTGCAGTCAAAGGAAGAGACAAAATAAGTTATATATATCTGTTTATTAATATCTTAAAAGATAGACTTCATGTAACACAATTTATATAATTAAGTAGTGCTTGTTTATTCAGTACTCAGACTACTCAAAAAATATTGAAACTGCATCATATTTGTTTTGGCTAGAACCAACATTCGCTCTAATTTTCAGTCCCGCTGAAAATTAGGGGGGTTTCATTCGAAACCCAGAAATAAATGAGCATCCACACCAGTGGCTGCTGCGCAGCTCTGATGGAGCTCTGCACGCATACACGAACACAGTTAGAGGAAACATTGGCTAGAGCGGCCTCTCCTTCACCTTCATCAGTTCTGAAGGTATGCAGCCCTGTTGACCTCACTGTAACAGACTATGAAGCAGCTTCTCAACCTGAGGATTCGGGTTTGGCTTGCAGTGAGGGCAACATCTGACAAGGCATTTATGTAGCTAGGGGATCTGCTTTTTAAAAGCCATGCTTTCTTATGAGTATTATTCCACCTGAAGTAGAAATATAGCAATCACTTAAATAGGCTATATCTTGACATGCTAGTTTCTGATTAACAAAGAGGTGGATTCTTTATATGGAGGCATATTTAAACATGTAGTCCCTCATCTGCTGTATGATATAACTGGCAAAATCCTGTTGTGTAACTTTGCACCTAGGTAAAAGCTTCCTATCCCTCTCTTTTACATTCTGAGACTCCCTTATTCTACCTCAAGTTCTCTTCGGGAAGACTATAGCAGCCTCATGATGGAGGGGGAGTCTTTACAAGTCCTAAATCACTGCCACCAAGATCAGGACTGCTGCTGCTCATCTGGTGGCAATTTTTGACTTTTAAAAGTCAATTGTTTGATATTGTTGTGTTTTAAATTTTGTTTTATATTTGGAATGTAAGCCGCCCAGAGTAGATTCATTGAATCTAGATGGGTGGTGTAAAAGCCAAATGAGTAAATGAATGAATGAAAGAAAGAAAGAAAGAAAGAAAGAAAGAAAGAAAGAAAGAAAGAAAGAAAGAAAGAAAGAAAGAAAGAAAGAAAGGCTTGCCTCCCTGTCCTGAGGCTCCTAAAGGGAATACCCTTAGGGCAAAAGAGAGCCCAAGGAAACCTCAGCTTCTAAGATGGAGAAATAAGAAGCTTTTAATTTGTGCGATTTAAATGTCTCTTCTTCCCGATCCAGATTAAACTGGGTGCAAATTTACACAAGATTTTGTCCATTGTAAAAAGATTGTTTGCCATGTGTTGTTGTTGTTTTAAATCTCTGTGTGTAATTTTATTATTAATGACCACTTCCCCTAAGCTCACAACCACCAGTCCACTCATAGCTTGGGAAGCAAGCTGGTATCTGGTCAGCATAGTTCATGTTTGGTGCCTATCTTCTGTTCCTGAATTTAATCTGAAGATCCTAACTGGTGGCCAAAAGGATCCTTGACTTGAATTATGGAACAAGCAATGTGGTCTATTAATTGCCTAATCTATTAACTGTCTAATTATTAATTGAAATAAAATCCTGTAGCTCCTTCGACTCTGAACTGCATTTAGAATTGAACTGTTTAGTTCCAAGAGAAGAAGGCTGGAATCATGCAAAATTTGAAATAAAGGAAGGAGTGGAACTGAGAAAGATGATTTTTCAAGAGCAAAAACTATTATAAAATTTCCACACTTTACAAATGTGAACTAAACTAATGACTTTTCATGCAAAATAATTGGTGAACATACATACTATGCTGAAAATTCTGCACCAAAACACCAAAATTCAAGGCAAAGCTGGTGTTCAAAAACTGATTTCCATAATGGAATGCAAGGTGAATTTTATTTAGATCAAGATTTAAATCATGATTTAGATTGATTTGATTTTTTTTTACTCATTGATTTTTATCCACCCTGATGGAATGTGATCTGCCATTTCAGTTTCAACATAAAATATTTCTAAGATGCCCTGTGAAAAGTCGCACAATAAAACTATTAAAAATCCTGAATGCTGAACTAATACAAAATACTAAAGTCAGCTGCTTATGTATTATGTTCTGTTTAGGCAATACGAAAGGTATCATATACTTTACTACAATATTTATATAATTTTAGTTTAGCATTTTGTATTTTGATTACATTTAGTACTTTTTTTTTTTTTACGGAAACCATGGGACCTAATTTGGACAGTTTAGTGTGGGAAACTAAAGTGGCCAGAGAGAGCTGGCCTAGAACTATGTTAGAAAACTCTCAGACCTGGATGCACTTTCTCCGTTATACAAAGATGTTTCTTCTACTAATCTTTGCATTAAGATGTGATCTATGATAGAAGCATAGATCTTCCTCTTCACAGTCATGTCTGATGGTGAAAGGAGAGAAGCTCCAGGGCAAGAGGATTGCTGCAGTTAAACTTCATAATTCTGGACTGTGGTTTAGGGTTGTATTCAGACTGGCAGTGTGGATTGGTTTGGACCAATGATCTTTGTTCATATCAGGCAAAAACAAAGGAAGAATAAAAAGTAAAGAAGACAGCAACGTTGTGGCACCTTAAAGACTAACTTCTGTATTTTAATGTGAGCTTTTTCAAAAAGGTTAAGAACCACTGGAGTAGACCATTGTTTATTAAGTCACAAATGAACGCTAGGCCCACGCTCGCTTCTCTTCACTCTTTCTCTTCTCCCCTTGTACCTGACTTCAGCCGTGGGTTTTCTTAAGCCAATTCCTCATTGTGTCTGATCTGGCTTAGTGTGGCTTTGTTGTCTTGAGATCTAAAAAAAACCTTGGTTAGTTAAACAGTGCTAAACATCAGTTTTGTGTCTGAGATGTTATACGAAACTGGATTAAAGAATGAATGTTGGAAGCGTCTCTGTCATGGCATCAGGAAAGCGAGGAGAGTATGTGTTTTGACGGTTCCTGGCTGAATGAACCATTTATAAACCATTCATTGAGTCAAAGTCTATTATATCCAAGCCTTAATCTTGAAATACATTGACATATGGCATATTATGATAAAATTGTATTTACAGATTGTAGTGTTTCCTTTTGCTTTGCTTCTACATTACAAACTTTCTTTTAGCAGCACCTTCAAGTGGGGATGCTAATGTGCTGAGAGTACCATTTAGGCCAGGGCTTGGATTTAGGCAGCCAGTGCCTTATGTTCCCCAGAGTGCTCCAAGCCAGAAAATTGTGTCTCCAAAAGCCTTGAAAGGGGTGTGACACGGGCCATTTTGGCCCCATGGTACTAAGGGATTTTTTTTTAAGCCCATAGTAATAAACTAGAGCTGTCTGGATAACTCGGTAGCTTAAGTATCTGTCTGCAAAGCCAGTGGTCAGGAGTTCAGTTTCCCCACTGTGCATGCCAGAAGGGCCAGCCTGTGTGGCCTTTGGCAAGCTGCCTAGCCCTAGGGCTTCCCCAGAAAAAGGGAATAGTGAACCACTGCTGAACATTCTCTACCTGAGAAGCCCTTAAAAAGATTGACATAAGTCAGAACTGCCTTGACGGTACACCATTTTATTATTAACTATACGAATCAAATTTACTTTAAAATGTATTCTCAAAAATGTTACTTTAAAATATTGATTTCAGTGGTAAGAAGCAACAGTTAGAATTCCAGATTAAGTTTTTCTTCTCTGTGCCTTGCTTTATTCTCCAAACTCAATTTTTTTTAACCAGAAGTGACCTTTCCACCACTTTTCCTTTTGATGGAAGCCATAAGTGGGGCCGGCAGACTGAGAAATATAGTGGACCTTCAGTGGCTGGCTGTCCTAATTTAGGCTGACCTAGGTCAACAAAATCAAGTTGTTAGTCTTGTAATAGTAGCTCTATTACTGTACATTCTACACGTGTTGACTTAAGAAGTGTTATTCATTCAGTGGTTTAACTTTAATTGTTAGTAACAAGTTTAGCCAGTGAAGTTTAAATCTGGAGTGGACAAGGACTAGAATCTGATTGTCAGTCTCTTTAGGCTTATAGTATAACAGTAGCAGTAGTGAGGTGAAACTAACTGTTGTTATTGTGTATATGAGCTTCTACTGCTCATTCTTTCTTTCCATCAGAATTCATTACGTAGGCCAATTTAGATCATGAAGGGAATGGAATCATGTAATATTCCATTTGGATGGGAAAAGGGCTGTGGATTTTGTCACATTAGCTGGTCACAGATGCTTATAAAATTTTAAATTTTTGATTAAAATTATTTTTCTCAAGAGCATAAAGATGGAATGAGAAACTCCAGAAAAGTGTTTTTCATTAACAACAAAAGGAGAAGGAGAAGAAATAAGGCAAATAGTGGCCAAGATCAATACAGTACTTCTACATCAAAAGTCAATGGAGTTGGGACTTGCTTTCTTTCTTGTTTCTGCTGATACCTTGTGTGGCACCAAGAATAATGTTCCAGAGAGCCTTCTGGGGCAGGAGAATTGTTGTACTGACCCACACTAGATCCTGACCAGTGTGTTCATGGCCATGACAAAGAGTGTCTCCAATTCTTCCGATTTCATTCATGAACCCATCAGCAAATGAAAGTTCCATTCATCAAGTGACAGTTTGGCCAGTGAGGTCAATAGCCAGGCATCTTGGATTCTTTTTAAGGAGAAAGGATAATTTTTAAAAAATAAATAAATAAATAATTGTCGAATCCAAAATCAGAAAGCCAAATCTGAAACCAGGTCCCACTTTCTTTCATTCCTAGGTAGCTTTTGTACTGATAGTCAAGTGTATGATGTCCAGCAAGAACATTCCATGAGTGGCATGTGGCCCCTCAAAATACTTGAATGGGTGCAGCTGAGTTATTTCCACTCTGTCCCTGAAGTGGAATTTTAAAAGAAAGTGGGGTGTTTAGGATCAGATTTAAGGCTTTTCCCCATGAAATATTTGCTCCTCCACTACCCTTCTACCACTTGGTGCTGATAAGTGTGAGATTTGCATCCAAATTTCTCTTTCAACATCTTCCAGACATCTTTAATAAATTAGCTTCTTTGTTGGATTTTGTTGTTTTTGAATAGTGGCATAGCACTAACTGAAAGCTTCTAACCAAGAACCCTCTTGTGACTTCTACTCACTACAAATTCACATCTGTTATTCTTAATTGTCAATTCCAGACCAAAAAAAACCTTTAAAAATTTGTTTTAATACAAAAGCTTCTCCACTGACAACTTTTAAGTCTAAATTTTGTCAGATCTCTATGTTATAATGGGATTCCTAGTGTAGTATAGTGGATGGAGTGTTGGACTGGAACTCTGGAAAATAGGGTTTGAATCCCCACTTGGCCATGGAAACTCACGGGGGGGGGGGGGGAACTGGTAAAACCATTCCTTAAATATCTCACTTATCTTGAAATCCCTATTAGAGTTGCTATAAGTTGGCTCCAGTTTGACAGCACAGAACACACATGCTATATTATAAAAAGAGCATTTGTCCTTTCCCAGTAGGATCACCCTGCAACTTGTCTTGCAACTCCTGTTCTTCATAGGGATGCAACAGAACTGTCAAACGCTTGTAAAGATTGAATAAATAAAATATAACATGCCAAAATAACTCTCTACTTAGCATTCATCCTGTGCAGTAGCTGCTTCTTATGTGAAAACATGGAATACAGTGGTACCTCGACTTACGAACGTCTCTACTTATGAACATTTCAAGTTACGAATGGCTCCATTCACAAAATGTTGCTTTGACTTGCAAATGGAGCCTCAACGTATGAACGAGAAAAAAAAAACTTTTCTGCCCTTTTTTTGACCTAAGTTCATCTTAGGTCAAAAGAAGAAAAAAAATTAAAAATTCTCCCCCTAGTGGTAGAGTACGGGTTAACTGGCTTTGCATTAGTTCCTATGGTAACTAATGCCTCTACAGTGGTGCCCCGCTTGACGACGATAATGCGTTCCAGCAAAATCACTGTTAAGTGAAATCGTCGTCAAGTGAAAAAAAATCCCCATCGGAATGCATTGAAAACTAGTCAATGCGTTCCAATGGGGAAAAT